ATTTTTTCATTTTCAACTTTTATGTTCTTCTTCGCTACTATTTCCTTTTAAATTAGAATATAATTACAATCGTTGGTTTTTTACCTCACTATTAATTTTAGGCCTTTAAAATTTGGCACAATTTGAAAAATGAATTTAAAAAAAATGGGGGAACAATTTTTTAGGAGGGAGGGTTAGGGGTGAAAAGGTAAAAAAGAAATACAAAGATTGTTTTGTCAAAAACTACCAATCAATAATTTTAAATTGTAAGTATATAAGAAATTTCTTTTTTACCTTTTTACCANCCCCCCCCCCTCCTGAAAAAATGTTCCCCCTTTTTGTTAAATTTATTTTTCAAACTGTGCAAAATGTAAATGTCTAAAATTAATAGTGAGGTAAAAAGCCAACGATTGTAATTATATTATAATTTAATAAAAAAATAATAGCGAAAAAGAAGATTAAAGTTGAAAAATAAAAAATCCCCCCCCTCCCAATTGTTGCTCCCTTTTTTTAAATTTATTTTTCAAATGCTATTTATTTTTTTTTTTTTTAACGAAAGCTTTTAAAACCCTTTTCTTTTTATTGTGTCGATCTAAAGTCTTTAGAAAACCTCAAACATTGTTGCATCTCTATAAATCGATTCTACTCCCTATTCTTTGGTATGCCTTTCCTATTTGGAAGCCTTTTTATAATTCAGATATTGTACAGCTGGAAAGGGTTCAACATGTATTCCTTAGAGCCTTGTCTTATCGATCTGGCAATCCCATGTCCTTCTTTGACCATGATTTTAGGCCTGATATGTTTGATTTTGATCTTTTAAGTGTTTTTAATTCCGGCCAGGGTCAAGAGGCGTTGTTCTTATTCAAGCTCATTGACAACTTGATTGATTCTTCTGATCTTCGTCGCCTTCCGGGAGGAACCCAATCGAAGACCTGCTTGGGCAACCGGTCGTCTGCCATCCTTCGCACATGTCCATACCAGACCAACTGCTTGGACCTGATATCGTGCACAAAATTTGAAGGTTCAGTAAATACTGAATTGCATGGGCAGTTGATGCAAGAATATATAATATTATATATATTTGAATAGGTTGCTGATGAACTGAACATTTGTTATCATTGGAGAGGAGAATAATTGTCATTGATTCTTTTCACCCTTGGGGGGTTTTCCTATCTTTCATGGAGGTACATTTGCCAAGGATCCATCGGAGCCATCCCCTTTAACAAGACGGTCCTCTCATCCATATGTCTGAATGTTTTTGGTCTTACCCCTTGAGGTTGATCCATTTGATCAGGAAAGACCCTCTGCCAAGTTTCAGTGAAATCGAATGATCTTAACCCTTACTGGTAGAAAGATCTTTCTGTTGAAACACAATTTTTTTTTTCTGGTAAAACTGGTAAAACTAAAATGTGATCTAAATACAGGAGAAACCGCGTTACTGACTGGCATGACTCATGACTGCTAGTCTATAATTAGTAGAAAATCAATTGATAATTATGCTAATTAAAGGAAAAACTGTGAACAGATTGGAATATGAATAAAAAAGAGAAGAAACATTGGGGGTCAGGGTTTTTGCTTACGGGTAATAAGGGGTCACTTATTAAGACTTTCTCAGCTAAACGAGCGAGAGAGATAACAGTAGTTTCGGGACTGTTATTTTTTCTTATAGTCTCAAGAATGAACTCGGCCGTAACTTGGGCAACAGCTTTGTTTTTGTGAAATATGTTGCTATAAAGGTCATTAAGGCAAATTTCTTCTGCGACAGAGGGATAATTTCTGTAAATAAAGGAACACAGATATAACTAATAGTTTATGCAAATACAAGTAAAATATAAGACAGATAGACATGCACAGGTTTACAGGCTGTACAGGTTTACGTGCTACAAAATTACATTTTCCGTAGCTTTTCGGTCACTCAAAACCGAAAAATAGCTATACAGCACATGGCTATTCGTCTTATCTTTTACATATACTTGATTGGTGCTGTTAACCAAATCGTGTTCGATGAAGTTCAGATAAATGTGTAGGCGGTCCTCATTCAAAGAATAGCCAGATAAATTGGATACCCAAAACATTGACACAGTGAAAAGTAGAACCGCCACATGAATAACAGGCTGCATAGTTACCCCTGCGTTTAAGAACAAGAGTGAAAAAACATTGAGAGAGAGTTAACGTTGTTGTTTAGGAAACTGATTTTTTTAAAATTAGAAGAAAAACAGTTTTAAAATTTAGAGAAAGTCTATCTCTCAATGACATCATCAGACAGCATTTCCAATTTAAACACATTTATTACAGTAGAATAGGTGATTTGGTCCCTCTGATGATTGTTCATTTTAGAAACTAAGGAGATTCTCATACTCAGTTTACTCAGTGGTTTCTTCTTAAACATGTGCCACAAACTTTCTAACACTTGTTGCTTCTCCATTAATATCACATAAAATTTAATGATCATATCTTGATTTATGAATAAAACAAGTCATTTATTTGAAGAATGATGGCTTTACTGTGACAGCTATACAAAACTTTATGGTGAGTGCCTTTTTCCCTTTACCTAACTTCTTTACATTTCAGCTGAGGGATACGAGGAGATGTTCAGTCAGATTTTCACCTTCGACCAACACTTGACGACCAACAGAAAGAACCAGGAAAGAAGTAAATATCTTATGGTTTGAGGCCAGCTCTTTTAGGGTGGCATTTTTGTGTAATCTATCGTTCTAGAGATGGAACAAGAAGTGAGGAACTGAGTTCTTGTACACCATTTAGATTGGTGCTTATTCAGTGAACCTGTTGGTAGGGCGAGCTGTTACAGCTTGCCTCACCTGGTGCTGACAGCTCATCTCTCAAATATTATTCTAGGCTTATCTCTCATGCTTGTTTGGTGTTCGCACAGGACTCCATTTCTGATAAAACTTTTTTAGAATAATGCCACTATGCTACTTAAGTTCTCATTTTGTATAAGACGAAGAGCTGCCTTCTCTTGACATTTTTCACTAATTTTGACAATTAACTGGAACTAAAAAAAATTCTTGAGGTAGAAAGCACGAGGAGTTGAAATTTGTGAAAATAGGTGACTTATAAATAAAGACAAAATTATAATAGCCAAAGAGAAGCAATTTCTTCTATAATTTTCTTTGTTGGATGGATAGGCAATTTTCCCACCACTGTCTACTATTTTACAAGGAAATATTCTGTTAGGAGAAGAAAAAAAAGGCACGTATAACATTAAATTGCAGTGAAAAATTTAATTTTGGTAATTTCGGCCATTATAACTCATTAATTGAAAAATTTTTGGTTTAAATCACAATTTTTTGGAATGATAACATTTAATAGAGTCCACGCTTAGTAAGTTTACACATTATTAGACTGCAACAGAGGATCCGAAATCTTGCTTGTTGCATTTACTTATATGTAGAAGTGACGTCAGACAATCTCCTGTTGCCATCTAGAGGTGCGTAATTTTATTTGGGAAGTCTACTGAACATGATAGAGTCCATGCCAAATTAGTCACTTGACTTTTAAAAAACAACAGAGGGTTTGGCGACTTCAGTGAACCGTGATGTCAATATGCAACAATTAAGATGCCTGAATTCTTGTCTCGCTCAACATGTTGGCAAACATGCTTGATCTGAATTCTGACCTCAGCAAGAACATATTTGTTAAAACACCTAAAATTTCATAATTGAGAAATAATTCTTCGTATTCACTTACTTGAAGATTAGAATCAAACATTCCGTTGCTAAACAAATTTCATCAGGGCTCTCAACTGTAAGCTGCCAATTGAGGACTCGAATTTCTCTTTCAGCAAAAGCTTGGATATCTTCAGACTCTGACTTCTCAAAGATCTTCTTGGACATCTGTAAAAATATGAGAGAACAAAATGAAAACTAAAAATGCAAGCGCGATTCTTTCACATTTTCCCCTCTAGAATATTTAACACTCATGCTAATCTGTCACACCCTGAGGATGCTAAGCACATCCTTGGTGGAGTTAAGTGTTAAATTAGGACTCAAAGCAAACTATTAAAAACCTGTTGCAAAGCTTAAAAGAAACTCTTGAAAGGATTTCTTCTGAAAAATAGGCATGGAAAAAAAGTTTACATTAACATTTTTCTCAATTCTCAGGACTGATTGTTCATGCGAAACGCTAAATAAAATGAGATAAATGCAACAAACAAAATGCAGAACGCACGTAAAATTATTACATAAACTGAGAAAAATAAAGTGATCAAAAACATAAAAAAGTGGAATCAGGTATTTTCGCGTAAGAAAATCGAAAAGGGTATCTTGATTTACAAGTCTTGACAGTCTTTAAAGAATTCAATATCTCTAACACTTGGAGTTTTCTAACTTTTAATGACAGTCAATGCTACTGAAATGATTGTTTTATAATTGAAAATAAAAAATAAAAAAATGCCTGAGCAGACCATTGATTTTTTAAAGAGATCATGCCTCTTAAAATTTTATTGAATAGAGCCCTGGAAAGATTTTTCTGGGAAACTCACTTTTTTTAAACAGCAGGCCGATTATGAACGATCGAGTTCTGACAGAAATTATGATCGATTTGGGGATGGTCTCGCTTTAGAAAAGCATTGCGCTTATGGGTAGGTCAAATCGATAGGACACAAACGGCCCTAAATCGATCGGAATTCCGGAATCGAGGGAAATCCAAATCGACGGGTCCAGACCCATCGAAATGAATAGTCCTCAATTTCGTAAAATTAACAGAGTTTTTCATCGATTTGGGTCACGCTTCACAGGATGGTTTTGAAGATGGCGAATCTGGTGCTGGTCATTGAGAACTACAAAGATGTTGTACTTAAATGAAGAGATAGAGGAGCGAGTACGAATTGAGGTGAGAAGAATATTGAGGAAAATATTAAGGGACAATGGGCCTGTTGCAAACTTTTGCTAGAGCGAAAATAAGTGTTGCTCCTTGTAGACTCAAAAATCACGATGAGCGCATTGGCAAACTCTGAAATGCACTCATAACTTCACAATCTGCGTAAGAAAAATGCGTTTTTTTGAGCTTCCCACTTCAAAAAGGATACTACGGCACAGGTGAACATTTCGTAAGATGAGTCGTTCTATCAAATACCTCCGCATTGAGGTGCTACGCACTATTTAACATGGCCGTCGCTTCCGCGCGAGAGCTGTTGCTTATTTACGTATGTTTATCACATGTTTCTATTTCATGCTATTTCAAGTGATAAGCTTCAGCGGCCCCAGTGCAAAGTAAAGCCTTAAACTTGGTTTTCCCATTAATCGGTAAGTAAAGCTGATCAGTGGTCCCTCAATATCTTCCCAATCTTAGTTATCATTTTCAGAAATTGATCCCTCATTCTAGCTGAATTTTCCTCAAGTTCTGAAGCCTCCTACTCCACAGTGCAAGTGTTGTGAATTGAAGTTACTTAAACCTGAAGTAATTCATCGGTCTAGCAACAACCGTTTCTTTTAAACTGGAAAGTGCATATCATGAACATACCTATTCAGTTTTGAAGAAATTGTTTCTGTAGACCTAGTGAGCAGCAGATCTTAATCTGGATGATCTAACACAGCCTCGATATCAGCTACGTTTTGTTCTGCCTTCTATAGTACAGGTAAGTTTGTTTCTGGAATCCGTATACCAAGGATAGGTAATGGTTGGAGTACAATGTATCATTCTGCAGCATGCAAAACCTGGTCTAATTAGATCAAAAGTATCCCAAGTCTCAATTGGTTGCGTTTTCGCTGAGAGACACTACGCGCCGACAATTTGGATGAAAAGGAAATGGACTACATTTTGCAATTTGGAACTATAAATTCTAGCCCGGTTTAAAAACAAGGTATGTGCCATTAGTTTCCCTATGCACATAAGTGTTTTTCAAGAAGAGCCAGAATTTTTAGTTCCAAATTGCAAAATGCAGTCCAAATATGAAGCAGGCAAATCATATGAACATTGTTCATTGATTTAATTCAATTGTACCAAGTTTCATTTTGTATAAATGAGCCCAAGCCTGTGGAAGTTGACTCATCACAAAGATCATAGAGGCCTTTTGAGGAGCTACCATTGACATCAAAGTAACTAACAAGACTGAATCCAGCCCCAGAATATTCTTAAATGAACATGGGCAGATTTCAGACTTCTTTGCTCCGATTATACTTCAGGTATTCGGAGAGGGAGGAAAGTCAAGAAAACAAAGGAAGAAAATCAAGAAACAAAATCATAAGAAGACGCACAACCATTCAGAGGAAAAAGTGTAGCCAAATATATTTTAGGATAAAGTATGATTCATATCTTGTTTAGCTGTAACTTGGAGGTGAACGAAGCATGCCACTCAAGTATCTCAGAGACACTGTAAAATAATATCAGACTTAAGTCAATTAACCTTCTTGAGCTTTTCACCACAAATAGTATCAGATTATTTGAAGCGCCGGGGATCGAAAGCTGCAATCTTCATTCCTATGTTAAAACATTTAGCATAGGTATGTTTTTAATCTTTTAAAAGGAGTAGGTAACCAGTTTGAATTCAAGAGTAAAATACTGTCCGAATTGTCTTCTGTAGAAAATTCTTGAGAAAGTACAGAGACAGAGATTTGCCGGATACCTTTGTAACAAATTAAAATAATCGCCAAATTTTTAGATAGCAGAATGGAGATTCCAGCTTTTGATCCTCAGCACTTCACTTGAGACCATTACCATTACTGCATTCCCAGATACCTATAATTGCAGAATTTCAAGGATAAAATTACTCAACTTTACTGGAAATATTGGTGTATTTACTTATGATGAGTAGACCTTTTACCTCGATACTTTTTGAAAAATTGAATACTACAACTTTTATTTTTGGCGCAATATTTGACTTTTAAGTGCATCTGATGAGCATCATGAGCTTTCATCACATTATCAACTTTATATGCAGTTTTCTTCAAAAATTGCTCTCGTCTCATTTGACTCCTTCATCATTATTCAAAAGAGAAGAGAGAGCTATATAATTTTAACATTTTTTTAAAGTTCTTCTTCACTAATTAAGCCCTCTGTCAAGAGTTCAGCAATAATGTGTACTTCTAGTTTTCTCTCTCTTTTTTTTTTCAGGCTTGCGTAAAGATTTTATTTATTTTATTTTATTTTTGAAGCGGGAAGCTCAAAAAAACGCATTTTTCTTGCGCAGATTGTGAAGTTATGAGTGCATTTCAGAGTTTGCCAATGTGCTCATCGTGATTTTTGGGTCATTTACTACAAGGAACAACACCTATTTCCGCTCTAGCAAAAGTTTGCAACAGTCCCATTGCAACCCATTTAACATGCCACAAAAAGTATTCCAGCAAGTACAGCCAGATAGCATGATTCTCCATGACAGCACTTTGAACTTTGACCTCACTATCAAATAAAGAATTTTAAATTCTGATTTCAATACTTACACGAAATAATAAATTAATTTTCTCCTTAATTTTTTGTATGACAATGAAGGAAGTTTGCACAAATATTACAGTCCCGTGAAAGGTTGGCGACAAGGGGTGGAGGAGGAGATCAGAAGGTGCCAATTGCCTGATGATCTCTGGGAGGATAGGGGGCAATGGCGATTGGGCGTCGCGGAGCACGAGGCGGCGCTATAAAAGCGGCTTTATGTATGTATGTCTATGATGATTGCTCCGTGTCCGCCTATCTGGCACGAACTAGTTTTCGAAAATTAGAGCAGGCGCTTGCGAAGGATTACACTACAAATTATGGATGAAATATGAATGACTAAGATGTGAATAAGGACCTCATGTATCATCATTGAATAGCTTTGATCGGTATTCAGAGAGCGAACCAACATGGATCCGTCACACACACCACTTTCCGGTTTGCTAACCATCTCTCTTAAGGATGATCCAAATTGACTGCCTTACAATGGACGTATTGTAATGATCTAATTAGTTCGATAATATCTTCAAAAAATAAAATAACTGACAAGAAAACACTCATTCACCAGGAGACTGAGGAGAAAGAATAGAGTGATAAGCAAAACGTGAACAAACCTTCCGAATCAACCATTCATCGCGCTCGCTTTCAAATATTTTGAATATTACAGCGAATATTTAATTTGACGGACTACAAATCATCATTTGTACACTTTCTATTGTAATTCTTTCTTAATTTTCTTGATTCTGTTCTTATTTTTTAGATCTATTGTCCAAAAAACGGCACTTCCACTTGGAAGCCATCTTTTTTTTTTAAAATTGATCGGAAATCGAGAGGCCTTAAATCTGTCAGAGACTCCTCAAATCGATCAGAAACTTGATCGTTCATAATCGGCTTGCAGGTTCAAAATCACTCACTCCTAATTCAATCAAAATTTGAAGGGTGAAAATATATTTGTAGGGAGTGAATTAAAAGCACCTATGTACATAAAAAAAAGCTGAAGCTCAAGTGCAGGGTTGCCAGCCAAATTATTTTATTCCATTCCCTGACTTTTCCCTGACTTTCCAATATTTTCCCCTGACTTTTAAAGTATGGATCTGACGCAGTCAGATTGCCAAATTGATCCCGCAACACGAGCCCGAGACCGCCCGCGCCTAATTCCACGAAAAATCAGAAAAATCCCTGACCAACACCGAAATTCCCTGACTTTACCCGATTGATTTTTTTTCCCTGACTTTTCCCGGTCGCTGGCAACCCTGCAAGTGGATTTTTAGTACTTAATTTATAAGAACCAGACTTTTTTGTAACTAGTTCAGAGTTGAGTGATTACCAAGTTTTCATAAATGTAGGAAACCAGCGAAATTTAAAAGTTACCTCTAGACATAGAATTCTGATCTTTTTACTTTCGGAGTCGGCACTCCATGAAATGTAGCGAAAGTAAAGAGGTTGTAAGATGAT